GTAGGTGAGCCAACCAACCTTGAACTGCCAATAATTGGCTGAAATCAATGGCGCATAATCGATTACTGGGCCACAAATTGGTTGAGTCAATCCACCGTAAGTGTACACTCCGCCGGGAACATTAGACTGTTCTGGAAATAAAATTAAGAAGTCCAAAGTGTTTAATACAACTGCTTGCCGTCACGCGACCGCTAGCTCAAGTTTTACGCATTACGACATCTCCTGGTCTGTGGTGGTGATATCTGACTACAAATCTCCTCCCTTAACTATCATACCGACCATTTTCGGTCAGTAAGCCATAAATTTGACCCCAGTAAAGAGTTGCGGATGAAGAAATAATTGTACCACTTTTTGCTTCTCTAGTGTCATAGACGGAATTGAATACGAAAAATAAGAGTTATGTTAAGACCTCCTTTGTGCTCCAGAAATACGGTAAAGATCGGTTTGTCCACCAATCCAAGATCAACTGCCTGTTGGAAAGGCGGATTCACTCCCTCGACAGCGAGCTCTTTGAAGCCCAGACCAAGAATACCGCTAATCGGGTCCTAAAAAGAAATTTGAAAGGAGATCGTTCGAAATCATTGAAGGAGCTTCCTTACGCCTGCGAAGAAATCGGCAATTGTGGAGGCTTACAACAAGCTGTTTCGTGCCAGAGCCACCGAATCGCACAGTATCGTTTCCGAAATAGCCACCGGCATCTCCAGTACCGTACTGAAAAAAGATTCTTTTCATTATTCGTCAAACTTTATACCACCTTACACCTCGACCAATATTAGACCGTTTCATTTCGGTAGCTCTAACTCATGGCGTGCCTTCAAGTGAGCGTGCGTCGAACTAAAGGCACAGTTTGCTCGATCATGGAGATACTGTCTCAACATTTGTTGGTTGTTGCGGCTGGTCTATTCGGAAGTGCTAAGACACCAAGAGCATATGAGCGCTGTTCATTTGATAGGGGTTCGCGTCCGGCAGACGTGAATCTCTTGGATTGGTTCCATCCTTTTATTTTACTTTACTATGTTTTACCATATTGAAAGCCTAGTTCACCATATTCAACCACAGGAGTTGAGCAATGAGCCTACGTAGAGGCAGAGCGCAGAAGCTATCTACAAGAAGAGCGTGCACTGTGATTTTGACGGTTCTTAGGCCCTGCTATTGTGCGGGATTGAGGCTAGGGAGGAAAAGATGTAAAAAAGTTATTGTGACGATGCTCAGCAGTTTCTTCTGTTGTGTCCATTTCTAATGGATCGGCAACCTGAAAAACATTCATTCGAGAGCGCGAAAGTCTATGCCAATTCAATCGCGCAATGTGCCTTCGGAAAGCCGCTGACTTTGTCTTCGGTTGGAATGAACAAGTCTTTCTAGCATCACCACAATATCGCCGTTACTTGCACTGGGGTTAGATTCCATGATGGTGCATTTGTTAATCAAGCAACTTGAAAGCAACTGTAAACATCAAAATATTAAGGAAAGTAGTGTAAAAATTACTTGTATATGCCAATTTCCTTCCGTTTTCGTGTAGGTCGTTGAAGCTGATGAGTTGAAGATGTCCTTGCCGTTACAAGGGTTTGGGCCCTTACTACCTGCGAATCAGTATTATATTAGCTCTTCCTAACTTTTCTAACTTCCTGCTGAGAAACTTTTCGGTTCGTTTTTTTTATAATGTGAACTCCTGGATCTCGGAATCGTAGAGGATGTGAGGGCGTATATATTTGGCGTATACAATGAAAGAGCGACTATTCGACATCACGTCAGATGCTATGCGCTTGAAGGCTTTATCAAGCTCAATAGCAGAAGATCAACTCTAAAAAGACAGAAGACTGAGTCGCTGGGATGAGCTTCGGGACCTTAATGACCTGATGCTCAGTATCGGAACCACTTGCCAATACCACAGCTTCTTTTTTTGAATCGACCTTCGAATTAGTTTGAATCGACCTTCGAATTAGAGGCGATAGCTGAGGAGCAAATAAAGGGACCAAACACAGAAAAACGCCTTCTTCGCCATTTGGACAACTTTATAATTTCTCTCACCGCAGGGTTCATAACGTTGAAGATTTCAAATTGCAAGCAAGTGCTGTCAATCTTCAATTAAGAAAGTGTGTTGTGGTTTAATGCTGGATGGCGGAATTCATTTACTTGAACGGAATCACCAACCGCCAATCGACCTGTAGATGTTTGACTGGTATTTATCCTTATGAACAATTCCATCCCCAGCCAACCAACTCAGGAGGAACGTAAACTCTGTTTGGGCCGCAATGTTATCCGTCCGAGACATGATCCCATGACCGTGGGTGAGGGAAAGATTCCACTTGCCAACGGCCCATGCCAACGGAATCAATCGAATATACAGTAGCGGTCAAAAGTTTGGAAACTTTTTTATTTTTGATCTAGCGTAGCCAATAGACAATGAAATTGCCCCGAATTCACATATTATATTCAGAATCTAGTGTAGATTACGATGGGTAACATGATTTTTTGAAAACTGAAATCGCATTTGAAAAATACGAATTTTTATAGGAAATGGCGCGTCAAAAGTTTGGAAACTTCCGAATTCTAAAGCGAATTCGGCAAAATAGCTCTCAAATCCACATGATAAATTAGTTATTTGATGAGTAGCTTTGAATTTTCTATCTTAGCGTCGTTTTTATTGACATGGTATTGATTATAAAATAATTTTAGGATTTTTAAGTCGGACCTCATACACTGTGAACTAAAGCACATTGTTTGGTGGGATTCTTAACTGGAACGTGGGTAGAGCGACATGCCACTTTTTCCGTGAGATGTAGAACTCAATTAGACTTCAGATCTTGACTTGGTCGCTTCATAGCAGCTCCTTTTTCTGGGTTGAGGAAGGCGGCAGTGGGGAGGTAGGCCTGCATCGGGTTATTTCCGTAATAGAAAACCCATCTTTTCCGGCTAGTTCTGACTATCTAAGGTAAGCATTGTATTCTACAGACTATACTTGTACTTAGCCCAACCCACATTTCGCTGGATACCTAGAACTGTGGAATCGCCGAATGGTCGGACACATGTTCATCCATGACAGTACTTCCACTATTTCTGACTGTTGAGACTGGTACTTAAGATTAGGTTTCCTGTTGATAAAACACTTCACACGGTCTACAACATCATTTTTACATCATTTTCAGGAAGACAGAAATCCCATTTGTCGCTGAGGGCAATGTTTTACCTCTCGCCTTCGGTCCATGTTAGCCATTAGTGTGCGGAAGCCAGTTGGGCCGTCCTGCTATTAAAGCCCAACAATGGCTTCTTGCTGGGACATCATCCTTAATGTTCACCAGGTCGCGGCCGATGTTGGCGTGCACTTGGACTTTCATATGATTAGGAAAAAAAACCAAAAAAAGTTGTCTCTTAGTTGGGAATGTTGGGGGCACGGGACGTGCCAACCACCTTTCGAAGTATTTGAAGAGGACCAACTTTCTTGTGAAGATACTTTTTTGTGAATGATCAATCTTCTTATGCCTACTCGAACTGGCTAAATGAGAGCGCGGCTAGAAGCATCCAGATAATACATTGCTTTCCGTAGAGAATGAACTACTAAGAATCAGTTTCAATTTCGTATTCCGGATTGTAGGGTTTAAAAAGGAGGACCCCATGGAAAAAATGCTTTCTTTGCATGTGAATTCATTTTGAAATTACACATTGCTCAATGGTTTACCTAAAAGATTAAGCGAGGAGGAAACTAAAAGTTAAACAAATTGAAGAGTAGGACTCATAATGAATAGGAATAACCAAAGTCTTGTCAGGCGATGAAGCGTAGTGTGGAGCGGCGGGCGCAATTGGGGCTGGTACACAAAAGCTATTTCTCGAGACGTGGGTGCGAGTTTCTCGAAGGTGGGCTATGGCACAGCATAGAGCGAGTAGGTGTTGACTGAGTGTGGTGAGGATGGGAATGAGCGTAGAATTGGAAATTTCGTTGTGTGTCGGCCGCGCTAAACGTCGGAAAATCAAAGAAGTTTTCCAAAACTTTTACCGCTACTGTATATGCAACGGAAATGAGATTATGCATACCATCTGTGCTAATTCCAGAGAGAGCGCTTGGTCTCCTCTGACTGTTGTCTCGGCTGGCCACACGTCACATCGGGAACCCAGAGATTCGCCGAGCCCGTATCCAAAATCACCTGCAACTGCCAAAGTTTGTTGGGCTTCAGATGAAGAGCACATTGAAACTACTACCTACATCCTGTAAAATTATTATTATAAAAGGTCAAAATACGAAGGCTTAGGTATCGATCAATCTCTCTCTTACGGGATGCGACCATGCCAATCTTGTTTAATCTGCTTCTATTTGGAATCGTAGTGACATTTGGATCCCGTTAACGCCTATACAAAGAATTGCGGGGGACATATAATGTACAAGGCCGCCTCGTGATCCTCTCAAGAGTAGTCTTGCAAGGTTTGCTAACAACGGTGTGATTGAAAGCTTGGTTGGCCTAAACAAGATTTGGTCCGGATTTGACCCCGGACCCACCCATAGCCTCACAAAAAGATACCGCTGGCTTGATCGCCTCTCCACAACTTCGCTTCATTGTCGATGATAATCGGCACACATCCCAAATGTCTGCTCGGAGTATCCTATCGTAGTTATTCTGTTCCAACGACTCCACGGCTCGTCGTAATCGTTCACTAGCACTAAAAACAGATGTATCTCTTACTATAAGGGTGTCCTTCAAAAAGGCTCTTTGAGATTCTCTGTACCCGTAAAGTTCAGTAAGAATGATACTTCACTCAGGTTGCTGACAAAACTCCGACTATATAAGCTGTCAAAACGTCGGAGCATTGTGAGTCGCTTTGTGTTTTTCTGCTGCAGATGTCGATACCAAACACGCCTTTTCGCATCAGTCGCATTCGTTTCGAGTCTATCCCGAGTCTATCCTAGTCAGCTGCATCTGATGCACTGCGGCTGCCGTACATACTACCAGAAGTAGAAGGCCAAGCCAGGAGTTCATACTTCTAAACAACCGTCAAAATGAGGCTCTCATGCGAAACTCAGTGCGATTTAATAGATATCCATCAGGGAGCGTTTTTGAGAAAGTATGGGAGCAATAATTGTAGGCGAAATGAATGAGTGCGTGGAACCGAAGTGGACTGTGACAGATGGCCTTACAACTTCAAATTCGAACGCAGCACACCTCTTGGAGGTTAATGATTGCACATTATGTGCGCAATCCGTAGAAGTGAAGCTAAGACAAGGCCTGTGTTGTAATGGGAGGTACTTTTCACAAAATTGCTCCTACAGATGGCCACGCGATCCTATCAGAGTCAAAATTGTCTGCATAAATCAAGCAGGAAGCTTATCCAGTTGCTGATTAAGAGGGTTTGAAACTGTGGAGGGCACAGGGAGTGTTCAACAAAATTGATCGCATTTAGCATCTGGATTCCACAACATGCCTTGGCTCTTTTCATTGAATTAGCGCGAATGGTTTGGTTTCATTGTTCAATAACTTATTACTACTACAGGGGAACCAATAAAAAGAAAAGACATTTTGTCCTCATTCAGATGGATTTAATCACACTTTGCTCAATTCAAACCGAATGGTCCCAACTTAGTATTGAAGAGCACATTTCATTCTATAAGAATCTTCATAGTGGCCACCTACGTGGACATCAGAAAAATTTGCCCCGGAAACATGGTGCACTGGTCGAGCTCAATGGGGTCTTCGAAGGATCGTGTACCATAACGACCTTTACTGAAAAGCTAGTTTCGAGGGGGTTTGCATAGTGGAGCTAATGCCTCTAGAAACTATCCAACATTGAATCGATTCACGAAATTATGTAAGAGCTTCAGGCTGAAGCAGTTACGGTAGGCCTCCTTGAGCTTGACGACGGTGACAGATGACGTCATATTCTGAAGACGGTGAGGGCAGTGAAGGAGGGCCTGCGTTACTTATAGAGGGACATTTAGGGAATACTCTGCTGAGGAACTTCCGTCAACGACGGCAATCTCTGCGAAGAAAAGGGCCGAAGTGCGACATGGCAAAATGTCTTTTTTTGCCCCCCCCCCATGTATGTATACGAATATATTCAGGGGTAGATATTTTCAGGCTTCGTCCAGACCCAACCCTGACGAGGTTTTTGAAAGGGATCAGGATAATGGTAAGGTTCATTCAGTTGGTTTCGTGGTTTGAAAACCCC